CCAATTTTGGTGGTATCGCGGAGATATTTAATAAACTGAGCTGTTCGAGCACCAAGGTCAGCTTTACGATAAAATTGTGGAATTCTGCAGAATCTTCTCCGAGTTCGCCGGTTCAGGGGATTCCGGTTGCTACTACTGGTTCTGATTCGGCCAGCCAAAATGGAGGAACTAAAGTTGATGTTTCACTTCCTACGGCGTCATCCGCACAACTTGCCCAAACAAGACGCCCCTCAGGCCTCATTGGTCCTAAGGTGGTCGTAAACAAACCAGGCATCAACGTGTACAAGGGTCGCAACGCACCCTCGCTTACCTCATCCGTCAAGACGGGACCGGGTGGCGACTCGCCGAATGGTGGTTCCACTACGACTTCGATTCCTCAAGTTGTATGCCCTTAGTGTTGTTTGTTGATTCCTTGTCCCAGTTGTTATGTTGATGACGCTTTCAAGAGGTTTACTAATATCCTTCTAAAAAGGAATTTCCCCATTTGAGGATTGCGATTGTGAGGTTAGAACCTATTGCTGTTGGGTTGCGCTTGTGGTCATTTAAATAGCGCTTTGCGAAGCTGTTAAAAGCGTTTCCCTCTAAGGTATAGGTGTGAAACCACCTTAGATGTAAATTATGCTACTGACACCATAATCTAGGTACCGATTTGACTTCAATCAGGTACCAGCAGCATCACCAGGAGCAGCAATCAGTGCAAAATCGTCAAGTATTCGTCCGCCCACGGTAACTGCCGAGGCTAACGTGGGGCGCCACCAACCACGATCCTCGATTCCCACACGTACCAGCTTGGCCATACGCAATGGCCACGACAGCCCCTCAACGGTTCCCTCACAAGCCGCCAGCCTTCGCTCCACCCCCACGGGTATCCGCATGCCGTCCCAGTTGTCGCGCCAGACTCTCGCCAAGGTATTTCTTCTTGCATATGCATAGAATCGCTGAAGTATAAGCTGGTGTTATTAGCCAAGGCGTGACTGTACCCACTCGAAATGCTCTCTTTTCAATTTCTTCCGCAATATAATTGCCAGAAGTTCGTTAGATTTCAGGTCTACAGTTGCGAAACCTACCGTAGGAAGACTAAGGTTTTATCTGTTTCCGAATGAATTAGTGCTTGGCATAGATAGCAAGCACATTGTCTCTTTGTATGAGCAATTTACCATAAAATTTCACCTTTCTTTGTTTAAAGTAATAAAAGGACTTCCTACCTTCTCGATATCCCGACTTCCTCACCGGTTGTACGCAAGTTGGCTTATCCCCTCGACATTGATTGCCGCTTGCTACTGTTACTCATATTTTTACCACGGCCCGTTCCAATTCCACCTTTCTACTATTTCGGCTCTACCTCGCATTTCGTTTGTTTGCACTCTCAACAAACGTGTTTCTCATTCCAATGCGCTGCCGACAACATTTGCTGCCCTCTGCTCCTCTCCTTAGTTTTCTGCCTAAGGCGTGGTCTCATCCCTTCTATTACATGCTGTTTTTTGAATACTTGGGTTCGCATCGTTCGCCTCACCTGTGCATCCACAGCAACGTTAACTAATATAATGTATACTTTCCAAAAGACTCTTCCAATGATTTTTACTGTTTGTATAAGTAGCTGATTGGTAATGTTTGGCCCTACTTTTACTCGTTTGTTAAACCAATGTAGGTTTTTGCGTATCGTTTAAGAGACTGCATCCCGCTTATTGAGGTTTTTGTCGGTTCCCATCGAGACAGGTATTTCCACTTAATTTACGTTGTATGAAGTTATTAGAATTTGGTAGAGGAATGTGCCAATGTAGAATGTGGCTCCACATCAGATTTTATTACACCGTGGGGCTCGTCACCAACTTGCGAGGAATCAATGGGTAGCACGTATGCCAATAAGGTGTGGAAAGATGGGCTTCCATTTCTCACAGTAAGGCGTGCCAATTTATGCTGACTTTTGATCATGCGTTAATGGTTAAATTTGATGAGATACGCAGTAATGCCTCTACCCACGGTCTGGGTACCTCAAGTTCGCTATCAAGGTGTCTTCTGTACCCACTTTGATTTACAATCTAATGAGGCGAATTGCGACGTAGTATCTGGATTCAACTAATGTCTGCCTATCCAATAAATCCAACCCGAATTGGGCCAGAACAACTTTATTTTTTAATTGGGATGCCTTCATAGGTGTGGATAAGTGTGAACAAGCCACCGAAACATTGTAGGTTGTTATTGTTATTATTATTAGTGGTGTCCCCTAGTCTCGCAACTCGATGGTAGAAGCCGAATGGAGCAATATAATGGGAGTTGACTCTGAGAATCTGACCACATATTTACTGCATTGACAGATTTGTGACGATTCAGTGTGAACGGTCTACTCAGTCGTGCACGCCTCTAAAGGACGTGTGAGAAAGGGGCGTCACACCGACACCCAGGTGGCAGTAGGGCGATTGGCCTCTAGTGCGCCACGTGAGTGCGGATCTACGCTGGGCTAGGCCAAAACTGCGTATTTGAAACCAGTTTTCGTTGAACTCAGCTCTGGCGTACATGAAGAAATTATGACATTGGTGGCGGAAGCATAAAGTTCCAGGCATGTTTTCGCTCAAAAACGGTAGAAGTAGATGCTTTTGGGGCATCACACACGCGTACAACCATGCATCCAGGAGAGCGATAGTGAAATATAACAATTACACAACAAAGGGGAACATTTTACATAAAGCATGAACATGAGGAAGATGAAATTATTCAAGTAGTAGCGTTAATTTCGTGGGTGTTACTAGAGGAGAGAGTTGTCTGACTTTCATCAAATTGGTTTCTTTGCCTTGGTGATTATTGTGCAATGCGTCTACTGGGAACTAGTAAGAAACATACATAAGTAACGAGATTGAGCAGATGGAGACGTCCGCATTAACTAGCAAAAGGGAAATATTTGAAGGGAGAACTTGAATCCATGCTTTAGATTTACATTTTAACGCCAAACAAATTCAACGTCTCTAAAACTCTCTCCACATGCAAGGCATTTTGGTAGATGAAGTGGATAAGATGCCATTTGAGGTACCAAGATCATTTACCGACCGCACGGAAGTCATCAACATTGTCATTAAAACCGACATGTAGAAGGAACCAGATAATGGCGTAAGCATCGAAGCAGTCTTTTTGTCTGTTGCCAGCGCCCAGAGTCTGTCTTAGGCTTTAAGACGCAATGGCGCCCTCTGTCACCATTGTGACATTAAAGCGTGATTGGTTGGCTGTGCACGCCCAATAGAGTGCGGCACTCACTGCTCGGGTCTGGTGGATTTTCATTAAAGACAGTCACGTGAGTAGAGGCATTTGTGAAAAGGTTGCGGAACAGAGAGATGCCTAAGGCTCAGTCGGTAGCCTCAGTTTGTCCAGCAGGCATTGAAATGCCATCCATTCGACGTCTACCCAGATTCGCTGCCTCTCCATGGCAAGTTCTTCTCTTAAGGCTCCCGGGTTAGGTAGTGACAAGTCAGTGAATCATGGATCTGTTAAACTTAATTTTTCGAAAATAGCTACAAATTTGCGCTCATGTTTTAATCGTATTATTTTTAGCTTCTAAGCACAATGCTAAGATGCTACAAACAAGAGTTTGCATTTTTCGCAATTTTAAGTTAATAATTTACACAATTTCATAGCTTTAATGTACTTAATAAGACCTACCATTGTATTTAGTTGGAGAAATTGTGTACGATAAAGGTGGAAGGCTTATTTTCGAATCCTCTTGATGAGTCCGGGGGAA